ATCTTTATGCAATAGAAAAGCCAGTTAAAATATTTTCAAGGTTTTATGGCACCTTTTTAAATTAAAAAAAAAAAAATTTCCCCCAAACTTATCATTAGAATGTCTTTCTAAAATGGAATCAATTTTAGTGTATCTTCTTAGAATTAATTAGGTTTAAAAACCTGAAATATCTCCAAGATTTCTCTCTTTGGATTTAATTAGAATAATGAGTTTAACAATTTTTTTTAAGTTGTTTTGCATTGGGGTTGATACTTCCACGGCGACAGAAATAGAATGTCCTTTTGTTCTCATAGGATTGGATGGCAGAGACTAGATGAGGAGGGAGATGACAGGTTGGATAAACATTTCCAATTCTGCCTTTCGTTGCTTCATTTTCATTTCCTCAGTGATCCCTGGGTCCTGCTGATGGGATCTCGGACTAGATTCTCGGTCCCAGGCCCCTCGAGGAGCAGCTGTTTCCAGAGACCTAGGGCCCCTACCAGCATCAGGCAGTGCCCCCAAGCAGGCGAGAGCGCACCGTGTCACCGGCCCAGTGCTGCGAGCGCTCGTGGCCCCAGCTGCAGGCCTCTGCTTTTGCAACTCCCACGGCAGGATTCCTGGCCGCGCTTGTTTATCTTACATTAAATTTTTGGGTAATCTTGCATAGTTCAAGCATGACTTAGCAAGAAATACACTTTTGCTTTTCAGTGTGACTCTAGGACTTTTTCTTACTTAAACTTGCATGTTTGTACGTCGACATGGCAGAAAAATTTGGTGTATTAGAACTAATCTCTAGTAATGGTGGGGCATGGAAAGATCAGACGTTTTGGTGGATTTGAAAAGAGGTGTATAGTCATCCTAAAGGAAGCAATGAAAAGAGCCAATTGTGTGGGGGGCGCAACGTCAAGGGTGGGTTCTATAAGGCTGTTTGGGGAGTAGTCTCAGGGTGGGGGGGTGAGCATGGGGCTGGCCCAGTCCATTGTAACAATACCACAGACTGGCTGGCTTCTAAACCACAGAAATGTACTGTTCCCAGTTGGGAGATGAGGTGCCGGCATGATCAGTGAGGACCCTCTTCTGGGTCACAGACTTCTCGCTGTGGCCTCGCGGGGCGGAAGGGCGGTGGGGGTCGAGGGGGCTCCCTGGGACCTCTGTTATAAGGGCACTAACCCCTCCTCCTAACACCTTGGGCTTTAGGTGTTCCCACATATGAATTTGGGGGGAACACAAACTTTGAGACCCATGCATGGTCAGACGGGCTCATCCCCATGTCCAGCTTGCCCTTGTCAGCCTGGGCTCTGCTGGAGGCTCTGATGTGAGATCTGCAGACCCGAATCATCTTGCACGATGTCCAGTTCCCACTCCAAGGCTTCCAGCCTTCCTCCTCGCTGAGGTTAGAGGCCTCCCAGCAGCCTTGCAGGGGCCGGTGCTCTGGCTCTCCAGGGGAGGGCCCTGGCATCATCCCATGGGGATCCCTCGGCTGAGGGATGGGATTGGGGACTGAGAGCTCCTGAAGATGACTTGGTGGCACCGCACCTCCATGCATCTGGGTTGAGGCTCTGCCTTCTGTTCTGGGTTGATGGACCAATGTCCGTGTGCAAGTTCTGGCCAACCCCTCCTCTCTGCAAGATCTCTCCATCCCCTCTCTCTCGGGCACCCAGTCCCTCCCACTGGGTCCTGTCCATCTCAATGCACACCTGCTCTTACTTCTTCCATTTCAGAAATTCTCTCAACTGTCTCAAGAGCTGTGTGTGCCTGGGGTCTCCAGTTCCACAACTCTTGGTCACTCTTGAATCCATGTCAATCTCTGCGGACTTTGCCTATAGGGCTCCCCTGGGACTGCTCTATCATGCCACAGTGGTCCACCCAGTGGTCGATTCTCAGCCCCCAATTCAGTCAACGCTCATGACACCACTTGCTCGTACTTCTTTTTAGTCTCATTTGCTGGATTTCCTCGTCTTGAGGATCTCTAAATTGTGGGGAGCCAAAGAGCCCAGCCCTGGGCCTCTTCTTTGCTCTCCTTTGATGAGCTCAGCCAGGCTCATGGCCTTAACTAGGCCATCTATACACTGATGGCTCCAGCCCTTGTCACCTATACACTGCTGGCTCCAGTCCACATCCTGAGACCCTACACATCTACACATCTATATAGGAATACTCTAGCCCGGGTCATCTGTACACTGCTGGCTCCAGCCTTGCCCCTCAGGCCCTCACGTATGTTTCTGCTGACTTTTTCAGCATCCCAACTTAGTGTCTTAGAGCCTCTCACACCTCACACCTTTAAAACTCCACTTCTGAGTGCTCCCCAGGCCTGCTTCTCCTGCAAGTTTCCTGCTCTCATCCTTTCACTTGCCAAAAATCTTTGAGCCACTCTTGACTCCTTTCTCTCCCGCTCCACATCCAACCCATTAGTAACTCCTACTGACTCCACCCCCAGTATTTATCCAGATTCTGACTGCTCTGCACCCCTCCGCTGCTGTCATCCAGGCTTGGCCACGTCACCATCTCTCACCTGATCATCACATTACCCTCTTAACTGCTCTCTCTATTTCCGTCCTTTTCCTTCTTTGCCTCTCCTCAACCCAGCAGCCAGAGGGACCTGGTTAAAACCAAGTCAGTTCAGGTCATCCCCAGGCTGAAACCCTCTGATCCCTTCCACTTAACCCCAAGCAAAAGCTGAAGCCTGTATGATTGGGTGGGCCTTTTCCCCTCCTCCTTGTCTCCTGGCTCGCTCAGCTCGGGTCACCAGCCAGGCACGGTCCCACCTCAGGGCCTTTGCACTGGCTCTTCCCTCCACAGGAATGCTCTTTCCCCAGATATCTGAATGGCTTGTCCCTCACTTTCCTTGTGTCCTTCATGAGTCTTCTCGGGGAGGCATTCAGCAATCCTTTAAATATTGCAACCCCACCTCACCCCAATACTCCCTGCCTCTGCTTTGTTTCCCCCCCGGCATCTGGCGCCATCTGACATACTATAGATTTTCTTATTTTATTTACGGTTTCTATCACTCCCCACCCACCCCCACCACCTTCTAGAATATAAGTTCCATAAGGGAAGGGAATTTTGTCTGTTTTGATTACTGGGCAAGCCTGGCCCATGCTAGGCACTCAATATTTTTTACTGAGATCAATGAATAATGCACATAGGACTGCCTTCCGAGTCAATCCTCTTTCCAGAAGTGGCATTTGGGACCCTTACAGCTGTGTGTCAGAGCCTCCCTTCAGACAGGGTGTCCAGGCCGAATTGACAGTGTTCCCTAGGCGGTGGGAGCAGGGCTACTGGTGGTCTCATCTCCAGGCTGGAGATCACCATTACCACTTTGCCACACATTAATGGCCCAAGAGTCTGGCTTAAAATCCCACATCTCACTGGAGCCCAGGTTCAGATTTTAACAGTGTGGAATCTGCCTCCTCTTATTCTTAAGGAGACACATCCATTCCAACCTGCTTATTCTAAGAGCATCTCCTAGATGCTGTCTTATGAAAACAAGGTTTCTTTGTGTCAGTCGTGTCTGTCTCAAAGGCCGGGTTTTGTTATAAGGTATGCCTTAATCACGCACAAACCTGTTAGTGCTGGGTGCCTTTATAATAAAACCTGAAATGTGGACCCACTGTGGCTAGAGCCACGTGCTTCCCATTCTTCCAACATGTTTTAAGATCCTTGGCCATGCTCCCCTCCCCCAAATAAGACCATCCCCTTTGAACTCTGCCCTCCCCTTGTAAGATGGAGTGCTGTCCTCTTCCCTTCTAAGTTCCAAAGCCCAAACTGCTCTGGACACAGCCAAGGCTGGGTTGGCTTTGAGGTTAGCTTGTTTTTTTTTTTCCTCTGTGGGACAAGATTGGCCGACACTAGGGACCTCCCTGTCACCTCTTTGCGGGGATGTATGTCCCTGTGCTTCCCAGGCCTGGCTTCCTCTTCCTCTTCCTCTTCCTCTTGCTGAGTGGGCAGGAAGAGTAGGCACAGGGACGCCAGATGCTCTGGGTTCCTTCCCGCAAAGTCCCAGGAGGCATTTCTAACGATTTGGTTTGCAACCTATTTATCTGCACATATGACATTCTCAAAAGTCTTTTAACCTAGGTATCTACTCCTCTGTTCTTACATCTTTTTCAAATAGCTCAATCCCCAGTTTGTTTTAGTTTGTATAATCCCTGCCCAGAAAACCCGTGTGCAGCTATGAATATCCCACATTGTTTGCCCGATGATAAATAAATTCTTTCCTCTTGGAGAAAAAGGCACTTTCTCCTCCCGGCACCAGGAAGGACTGTAGAAGTCCCTGCTATGATGCTGACCGTGGGTAGAGTTGGTCCTTCTTGGGTTTTGTTATTTCAGAACAAATATGGTAAACTGTTTCCCCGTTGGTTACTATAGAGAAGAGATTATTTGCCTTTCTCTTAGGGCTTCTGAAAATAATAGATTACATATTTGGGAGGGTTTTTTTTAGATCTGGTTAATGTGAGATAGAGGGGATTGCTCCGGGGATGACATTGTTTGGTTTGGGAAGTATTCTTGTTGTTGCCCAGCAACAGGCTCTTAGAGACGGGAGTGGACTGCGTTGTCCCTGGCAACCGTTGTTACTCAGCAAACAATGAGGGCCTGCAAAGAGCGCCAGGACTGCGGGCTCCAGGTTTTAATTGAACATCTGCATATATTTTTCTCTGATGAAATTATGTTTGAGTTTGCTTTGCCACGACAGGTAGACCTGGGTCCACCTGGGATCTCCTTGGCAGAAAGCATGCTGTCATTTTGACATCTCATCCTGTATAAAGCAAGAGGAGCTGATGGAAGGGGAAAAAAAAAAACAACTTTCAGCCGTTTGACTATATCGTAGACTGCTCTCCGCTGGAGACTTATTCCAATCTTAAGTGGAATTTCTTTTTTGATCGAATTCCTCTTGTTTGTAAAATCATTACCTGGCCAGCCTCCTCTTGAGTGCCTTCCCGCATGACGTTTTCTTGCGGCGGCTGGAGAATATCAGAAAAGCCGGGACTTGACCCCAGTGGGCCACACGTGAAAACAGCATCCACGCATGAGCTTGGCTGGCGATGGAGACGGGACCCAGAGCCTTCTGGTTCTTTAATGTTCCTTGCTATTCCTGTTAAGAAGTTGGGAATGCAGGTGACCCTCAGGGGAAGCGTGCATATTACGCTTCTGCATATTACCGCCAGGAGTGGGACACCCTCACCCTGACGACGGGCACTTTGCAGCCACTGGGAGGATTCTGGCAAAACAGTGTCACTCCCCACCTCCTCCTCAGCGGGCCACAGATAGCGATTGTTTACCAGGGCTGGTTGCTTGGGTAAACACTGCCCCTGAACTTCATTCAAAGCCAGTGACACATTTCTTTCCCCGCGCTCTCTGCCCCGCCCTCCGTGCCCCGCCCACCCGCCAGGGCTATAAACCGGGCGTGTTACTCAGTGCAGGTTTTTGGCGGGGACTTGATCCTGCCTTGTTCGTCTCTCTCGAATGCAGTCTGACTAAGGCAGCAGCACCTGTATGGCCTGTATCAGAACACAGCTCCGTGGTGAGATTCGCTTTAGTCGCGCCGATTGGGTGTTTTTTGGTTTTTGTTTTTTCCAGCGCAGTTCACTCTGTAGCCGAATGCCCCACGAAAATGTCCGTGGCACTTTCGTGCCTGCATTCCAGCTAATGGCTCAGGACGGTGTTAAGTATCTGAACAAGCTTCCCAACTTTCTTTTGCAGCCAGAACGTGTAATGAGATGTCATTTGTGTTCTAGAGCAAATAAAAGCCAGTCATATATATATATGTGTATATATTATATATATACATATATATAATATATATACATATATGGCAAGCTTGTCAGCCACCAGCCCTATGAGGTATAATAACTAAGCTTCAGTTACGTCAAGTGTTCGTGGAATCAAAATGAGTAAGTTCTGACTTACACAAGGATTCCCCAGAAGATTAAGGAGAACACAGGATTCTTCCTGTAACCTGGAATAGCAGCAGGAAGGAGATCAGTTTTGTGCCGAGAAAGATCAGTCCCTCCAAAGAAATGCTACTCTGCATTCCAGGAAATGAGTTTATACCCAGTTCCAGTTTAGGCAAGTCATTTTTCAGGAATTGTAGCCTCATTTAGACATTTTCTTTAAGGGGATCATTTAAAAAATGTCCCCACAGAGATACCCCCCCCCCCATCAGGCCTTGCAGCTTGAACAAAGCGCTTAACATCTTTGGGTCCCAGCGGGCCTGGCTGGTCCGCAAGGGCCCCTTCAGTGCTGCTATGTTAGGTGAAGCTCCTGATTTCAGCTCGGCCCTTTCTCTGCTTTTGAAACTCCAGAGTAAGGGGTGACCAGAGAGGAACGGGGGGTCAGTTGGAAAGGCCCGGGGCATGATGTTGGCAGCAGGAGAAAAGCCAGCCTAATTTGCCTGAGTCAGCCGTGGAGGTCCTGCCCATTGCTTGTGCTTATTGGCCATTCCTGGGAACGGAAGTGCCCTTGTCACAAGGCAGGACCGCCCAGTGCAGGGTGGGGTCAGCAGGCTCAAAATCCGGCAGATGCCCTGGAGGAGGGAGCTCCTGGCTGGCCCCGGGGCCCCGCCTTGCTCCTTCTCCCTCAGGTTGTAGGGGGAGCTCCGAAGGCTTGGTTTTCTTGAGGACTGGCTGGCCCAGGAGCCAAATGTGCACAGCGGGGAGAGAGGAAGCAGAACCCAGAGCAGCGAGCGTGGAGAATGGCTTGGTTAGTTTAGAAATACCAGGTTTAGCGAGGACGTGGCGTTAGACCAGTGGTTCTCAAAGGGGGTGATTCTGACCCTCAGGGAACACTGGGGGATGTCATGTTTGGTTGTTGTGACTGAGGAGCGGGTGCTCCAGGCATGGAGTAGGTGGGGCCAGGGATGCTGCTCCCCCCTCCCCACAGTGCCCTGGGACACCCCACAGAGAACAGTCGGGCCCCAAATGTCTGGACTGGGGAGGGGGAGAAATGGTGGTTCAGAGCAGGGCTTCTTAAACTTTAGTGTGCATACAAATCTCCTGGGAATTTGGGTTGAAATGCAGGTTATAGTTTATGAGCAGTTCCAGAAAAGGCAAAGCCATGCATCTCACCCCCTGCTGACTTTGTCCCTTTGGGGGCATTTGGTTTTCACAACTGGGGGTGCTCCTGGCATCAAGCAGGTGGAAGCCAGGATGCTGCTCAGCCCCCCACAGGGCCCTGGACAGCCCCCCACAGCCAAAAATGACCCAGCTTCAGTGACCACAGGGCCGAGACCGGGGAGCCTGCACGAGATGCCGGGGGACTGGATGGCAGGGGGATGGCAGGTTTTAATCGCTGTGCACAGTGCTACTTGGGTCCAGTCTGAAGCTGCTGGTGGCGGCCCCGTGCTCCCTAACCCAGCCGTCCTCCTGCTCTAGCTATCATGGGGGGGGTGGTTCTCTGAGGGCCTCGGCCCTCTCCAGGCTAGCCTCAGCCGCCCTGTTCTGCAGCGTCACATCCACCCCATCCTGGCAGGCGCCCCCGGCCCTGTCCTCACCATCGCGGGAACACCAGTCCCAGCCTCCGGTGGCCCTCTATGCCAGAATGGCCGCCAGCCACCTTCTCACTGCCGGTCGGGACCACTGTAACCACGCCGGCCACCCTCGATTCTGCAGAGACGTGTATTTGGCACGGCCTGCACAGCCCCGTGGCCCGCACTCAGGCCCTCGGTCCCGCAGGCCTGGGCTCGGAGCCCGGCACATAGCGTTCCACTTGGATCGAACTGGGGGTGCCCGAGGGCTTGGGTAACCATCCCATTTAAACACTGCCCCCAAAGTGAGAGGAAGCCTGGCTTTCTCCATGGAGTGCCTGCGGAAGTGTATACAAAGCAGAGGCAGGGTGGGGAGGGCTCAGAGGACTGAGCGTGCCCAAGGGGACCGGGCGCGTGGACAGAGGAGCGTGTGAGGTTGGAAGAGGGCTGAGAGGCACGCGGACAGCAAGATGGACAGCAGATGGCCTCGGTCTCCAGGGGCAGGGAACATGCCCAGCTGGGTAGCGGGGCTAGATGGAGGGAAGAGTGTCGACGGGGCCATTATCGACAAGTCCCTTCCGGTTAGTGAGTGGCATAAACTTTGATCTCTCTGAGTCTCAGTCTGTCTGCTGTTGTTTCTAAAATGAGGGTGGTAGGCTCAGTCGGTGGAGTGTGGGACTCTTGATCTCGGGGTTGTGAGTTCGAGCCCCATGTTGGAGGTAGAGATGACCTAAATAAAAACATTTTTAAAAATAAAAATAAAATGAGGCTGATAACGGACTTGCTTCCTGAAGAGTTAAGAAGGGTCCCACGTGTAGCCTGCTTTGCCCAGAGTCTGGGGTACAATTAATGCTGAATTGCATTGCTGGCTTCTGCCACTGCAGATGTCCTTGGTGTTCTTGCTCCTCTCACTCCTTCCCACTAGGTCGTATTTTATTTATCAGGCACGAGCCGGGGTCCAACCCATCACTGCACTTCATCCTCCCCACCCCTTTGTCAAATAAGGAAACTGAGGCCACAGCCACGGCCACAGCGAGTGACAGAACTGAACTCAGTTGTGTCCGAGTCCACAGTCTGTGCCCGTTCGGTGTGCCGGCCACCGTAGTATCTGTTCCGAACTTGTGTCTGCTGTATTTATGTGATGAAGGCTGCTGGGTCTTTTCCGTGATGGAGTGGAGACGCAATGGCAGGCAGGGAAATAGGAAGGGAGCCAGGTGGCGGTTCCTGGGATGTGCTCCACAGAGCAGGGCTCTCAGACTAGCTCTGAGTAGACAGCCTTCATGTCAGAAGGTCTGAATCATCCAGAGCAGGCTGAGCTGCCTCGTGAGTGTGGAGGGCACGCCTGGAACCATCTGATGCACCATACTCAACCTTCTCAAGGACCCCAGACCCTTGTCACCGGAATGTTCCGCATACCACCCACCCTCTCAGTAGTGAGACTCCTGGTAGTCCTTGATTTAGAACATGCAGTGCTCCAGAATGCGAGGAGGAGGCAGGGGTCGCCCTGGGTCACTGGGAGGTGGTCCTCAGAGGAGACATCAGGGCTGGGTCACCACTTAGACGTGGCCTGGCAGCCAAGGGAGATGCCCAATGACTTGAACTAGTCCAGTGGCTTAGGAAACACAGAAGAAGCAGCAAGTTTGAGGGAAAGAAGTTGCCGTTTGGATTTGTTAGAGACTAAGTCTGGTGGCGTTTAAGTGATTACAGATAAGCAGTGGAATGGGGTTGCCTGCCAAAAGCATATTCGCTGGGTGAAAATGTTGGTGAAGGCTGGGTGGTTTTTTAATTCACGTTTCCCTCCTGAATCCATGACATTGGTTTTTTTTGTTTGTTTGTTTGTTTTTTAAAGATTTTATTTATTTATTTGAGAGAAAGAGAATGAGAGAGAGCACATGAGAGGGGGGAGGGTCAGAGGGAGAAGCAGACTCCCCGCCAAGCAGGGAGCCCGATGCGGGACTCGATCCAGGGACTCCAGGATCATGACCTGAGCCGAAGGCAGTTGCTTAACCAGCTGAGCCACCCAGGCGCCCCTGAATCCATGACATTGTAAGTGGCAACTAAAATCAGACCACATGTGAGCCGAGGTAACCATACCTTTGTTTGGACAGTTTTTTAAAGTAATAGTCAAATCATGTCTCTTTAAGAGGAAAGTAAGTGGGCGTTGCCCCATTACGATGGGGCGAAAGGCCGCTGTCCTTTGAGATCAGAGTAGCCTGTCCCACCGAGGAGACAGGAGGAGGACAGGAGCCTGCAGCTTCAGGGGACCTCACCCCCCACGTCCTGGCTGGAGCCCTGCAGACGGCCAACTTCCAGGGCTCAGGCCTGCTCCTCTGCTGGAGAGCAAGTGAACACTTGGCCACTGAGAACAAAACAGGAACGGAAGCCCAGTTCTTACCAACAGAAAAAGGAATTTGAATTCTGTAGATACTTTATTCCAGAGTAGCTCGGATCCAGCTCCGATCCTTCCAAGTCCATTGCTGCAAAAGAAAAAAAAAAAGTGAAAAATTAAGGAATGACAGGGCACCCAGATGGCTTCGGCAAAGAGGGAATAATGGGCCGCCCTTGCTGGAAGTTGAGACTTGATGGTCCTAGAGACGGTGGGTAGGCTTTCCAGGGCCCGGCCTTTTCAGCCTCTAATTCCAGCTCCCGTTGGGCAGACTGCAATGCCCTCTGTTATCCTTCCTGTTCCTCACCTGCCTGCACGTCCCTTTCACTCAAGGCCCGTCTGTCCAGCTCATTTCTCAGACATTGCACCCCAGTCAGAGCGGGGGCTCTCAGTTGGGGCAGTCTTGTCCCCCGGGGGACATTCACCAATGTCTGGAGACTCCGGGCAAAGGGAGGTTCCTGGCGTGCGGTGGGTGGGGGCAAGGAGGAGATGGACATTAAGTTCTCCAAACATACGAGTCTCCTCTCAGTGCCTGGTGCTGAGCAGGGCTATCCTGAGGGCCAAGCCCCAGCCCCAGGCCAGCAGGCACAGTGCGGACAGAATCTAAAGCTCACATCACCTGCTCCGTAGACCTTGCACTCAAAGGGAAGGGTATCCAAGAGAAGCAAATGGA